CCCCAAAACCCCAAAACCCCAAAACCCCAAAACCCCGATTGTGACAGCGAGGTTGGAATCGTTCATTTGTAGTTATAATGATTGAGAAGAGATGTTATAAGATCTTAACAGAGTTTTATCAAGGTTTTATAGGAGAAAGTCGAGCTAGGCTGAGAGAGCCTCAGAGGATGCCATTAGGTGATCGGTTGAAGGAGTAGTGGAGTTATTCAGCTTTGCAAGGATTGGAGAGGTATTGTTACTGCCACCTTCATCTTGTTCATAATCTTCTTCCAGCAACTTGAAATTTCTATCATTCTGATCTCTCTTTGCTTTATTGACCTTTGTGTTCTGAGCAAATCCACAGAATGGAGGAACGTATATTTCATTGTACATAACTGTCCCAATAATGATGCCAATAAAGCCAATGAACTCTACATACTCAAAGGATTCATGTCCTTCACCTTGATAGGCGAGGAAGAAAACCCAGATGAGGATTATTCTTGCGATATCTATTGTACATCTTTGAGCTGAAGAACCATACTTTGTTGTAAAAACTCCACTGCATTGGAAAGCACAGATGCAGAAGATTAATAACACTTGGTACATTATTATAATCGGATTTTCCTTCATCTGCCTCCAGGCTAAGGGTACATTCTCGAGGCTACCTTCTGATCAATATGCAGCATCACATTTTATGAAGCTGGCTACTACCACTAGGATGATTGTCATGATCAGGTTCCAAAATCCTTCCCATCCAACCATTCTGAAAGGGTGGATGTAATGGGTAACCATAATCTTTTCTTCAATAATCCAATGAACAGCTGAAAATAGCTGAGATATTAATAATAAGGATATTCCTAGGACAACATTAGAGTTCTCAGAACCCGTATTCAGAATAGATGAGAGCCCAACTAAAGTGACTCCAACTATTATTGCAACTAAGGCAGTCCAATGGTGTCTATGAAGTCTGGCTTTAAGGAATATTATAGCGAGCATAGCAATGAGGAAGATTAATCCCCCTCTCATCATTTGGTATACGCTAGCATTGACCATTATTAAACCAAGGTTCATTAGTGGGATAGCACAGAAGTCTCAGAATGCTGGAATAATTAGCCAAATCCAATGAATATACTCTTTATTTACCATTCTGTACAGCTTTAATAACTTCAGGAGAGTTCTTCAGACTTCCATGTTTCTTAATAGTAAGGCATCTATAGACATTATAGAGCACTAGCCCTAGAGACCCAGCTATGAAGACACCGATCGAGCCAAAGTAAGGATGCTTATAATATCTGCCTTCGCTATCCTTCACTTCTATCTGAAGCTTCAATAGAATAGTATTGAGAGCCCCTGTTATCAACATGATGAGCATTGATAAGTACAAATACAACGTAGTCTTGGAGTTATATTCTTGATCTGACATTTTAGAAAATTTCAATTTTATTAGCCTGGAAAGGGGTTTTGGGGTTTTGGGGTTTTGGGGTTTTGGGGTTTTGGGGTTTTGGGG